CCGCTGGCATCGTTCCAGGAAAGGGCACGGACCCATTTGTGCCGCTGAGCAAAGGAAAACCGCTCCTCGCAACCTACCAGCGACTGAGGTGCTCGCTTCACATGTGGCAAACAGCTCTCCTTTTTCTGCCCCGGTTGTGTGAAAATATCTAGCAGGAGTTATTTTTAGGACATTAATATAGATTGGGAAATGGATCCGAGGGGGGAAGGGAGAAGTCACTTTTTTGGCGCGTGCCTCCCCTGGCTCTGCTGCATGTCTTGCTGGCTTTTTCAAGCAGCAGCTCTCCCCCCCTTTTATTTTTTTCTCAGGAGGGTGGCTCCACAGAACTGGAGCAAGAAAAGCAGACCTTCTTTCTACATCTCATTCAGCAATTACATCAGCCCCAGGCTCCCCACCTGCCCAGTTTCCATAGCGATTACACAAAGCACACAATGACATCAGCTGGCATGACATCAGCTCTTTGAGCGCAAACAATACAAGAACTACTTTGTGTAAGGCCTTTGGTAGGAGGCTGCGTTCCTGGGAGCCACTGATGTAATGCTAACAGGTGGCTCCTCCAAAAGAAAAGGAGGCAGAAAGAGGAGAAATGCAACGATATATCCCCTGCAGCCTCGCCCGCAAAAGCGCACGTTTGTGTTGTACCAGGGCACTCGACATCATGCGCAGCATCGAGACGGGTCAAGCGTGCAGGCTCAACTGCACTTTGCCTAATGCAAGCCAAAAAAAAACCCCACAGGAGGGGGAAGAGCTATACTGAAGTTACTAGAAAGAGCTACACTAGCCAAAATAAATGCTCAATGTCACCATACTGCTAATGTTCTTTTTTTTTTCCTTTTTTTTTTTTTTAAGAGGTTATTTGTCTTTTCCACGCTCTCTGACATGATCTGGCAAAGGAAAACTTTAAGACAGAGCAAAAAAACCACTGTCACACTGGCTCTGGATTAGATACAAAGGGCTTCTACGTCTGCATCCCAAGTGCTGCAACTCCAAATATCCACATGCCTGCCCATAGGTGGGACCCATCTCTGTGCCCTACGCAGTGCGCAATGGGCGTGAGGTACACAGACCAGGTCACAACCCCCTCAGCACTAATAGAAGTGCCCTTTTTAACATCCAGACTTCCCAAAGGATGGGAAGGCAACCTGAAATACACCAAGTGGAGTAGCCAAACATACAATAGTTTCACCCACTATTTCTTTCCTGACATATGCCAGTGAAGAGGTCACCTTTCCTAATGTCAGTCCACATCCCCCCCGCCTTGTTCTCCTCCCTCATGTGGAATACGGAGTTTAAATATTGCTTGAACTGACTTTTTAAGCACCATACCCAAGCAATTCTCAGAGCAAACATCCCTGAAACAACATGTTTCTGGAGAGAGGATTACTAACCTGAACTGCCTTAGATATGCGAGCAAGGGAGGACTGGACAAGAACACTGGTACCCAGAAAGGATGCAGCAAGATGCAGTCACAGAGGGAAGCTGAACTCCAAAGCCAACAGTAGGAGCTTAGCTTGGATCTGCCCTGCCATACGAGTCATGCAGGTCCCAAAACAGGATCCAGACACCTCATGAGTGCTGTTCCTTAACCCACTCCACCCCACGCTCACCGCACATGATCCTTGCTCCTAGCTGATTTACAAGGCACTAGCATAATTTAAGTGGAGCTCATGCATGCATGAGGTCTTTTTAAAAAGTTTGAGACTACATCCCAAAAAAGGTCCAAGCAAAATTCATTATGACCAGTCAGGAAGAGTCAGAGATGGACTTTCCATGTGAAGGTAAATACAGTGTACAGAGTACTCAGGTGCATCTGTATTCCTTTGTCAAACAGCTGCTATTTCAGCATGTAAAGTCTTCCTGCAGTGAGGGAGAGGAGGTGGGAAAGAAGAGGCTGTACCTAGAGAGGAGGCCAACACATAGCTACTGCAAGGCTGGTCTAAGAGCTGATTCATTAAACTCAGCAAGGACCAAGACATGTCACTGCTACTGACAGCAACTCCAGATCATGAGGAAGCTCAAGGCACATATGCATAGACTCCACTTGCAGCTGTAACAGAAGCTGTTTTGTGGCTGAAGCTCCTCAAGCCTTCCCGAACCTGGGGCATGAAGGAAGTGTTACAGAAGGCAGTAACAGGGAGCGTGGAGGAGAAGCACAACCTGGCAGAAGCCTCTCACTAGCACAAAAGCAAGCTGCATTTTAAAAGCAGTTTTCCAGCTGCTATTTCGATATGCAAAAAGCCTTTATCGTATACAGGGAGCCTCACCAGAGAGGCAGTATTATATATCCACGAGGAAGGACCATTAGGATGCACAGCAGTGCAGTTTGAACAACAGCTATGAAGCTTAGACTCAGCTGTGCAGCCACCTTCAGCAACAAACCAAAATGCCAGCAGCTAGATGAGCCACCAATGTTTGCTTCTACAGAATGTCATGCTTGTAACCTTGTCTCTTCCGGCTTTAAACATACCACGTAGCTTTAATAACCAAAGCACAGCAAAGAGCCTGAACCACCCAGACAGTTTGATGCAGCCATGCGCGGATGTGGAGAACATCCCAGGTGCTTTTGTGCATGCTCTGCCAGGCAGGCTTTCAGGGGGGCTGAACCTACCCAAATGCAAGTGAAGGTGGACATGCAAGGATGCCCAGCACACTGGAGAACCAAAGTATTTCTTCCACAAGGAAAAGAACCGATGAAGCAGGACCCTTCACATCAGATGGCCTTGCCTGCTATCTAGTGGAACACAACAGAACACCGAGGGCTCTTGCTCGCTACTGATACCAGAGCCAGATATTTTTTTGCAGTTATCACTGCATGACATCTCCCAGCAACCTGCCCTGCCAGAACAATCAGTGAGCAACAACAGACTTGGGATTATCCGAGACCTCAAAACTTCTAGGAAATGTCAAGTCAGCACCATACATGCTCCAGCTATTCATAGTTGTTTGTTCAAGTTCTTCGCAGCCATCTGCCCATAAACATCTCATCTAATGCTCCTCAAAATCCCGCACCGAGCAGTGCCTGAGCAGCAGCTGCGCACAGGTTTCCCAAATACGAAGCCGTCCAGGAGCCTGGGGCTTGCACTAGTGCTACAAGGCCAGGTAAGCAGCTGGACAGGAGCCAGAGCAGCTCTGAACAAATAAAAAAGACAAACAGCATGGTGCTTGCATAAAAACCATGCCAAATATGGCATCTGTCACATATCAGAAGAGGGCAAATATGATGCAAAACAGGCACAAAAGGTATGGCAGAAACTAGGCAACCAGCTTTTACAAGGGACCATGACCTTGCAATAGAAACAATCATCTTCAATGAAAGCAAGAAAAGTGAACCTTACCTGCACACATTTTATACAAGTGGGGTTTTTTGTTTGGTTTTTGTGGTTTTTTTGTTTGTTTTTTGTGGTTTTTTTGCAAGAGAAGACTGAGAATTAAAGTACAAGGAGTACAGTAACACCTGCCCTCCACCTCTGTCGTCTTTGGCACCTTTTTCAACCATTGCTGCTGCTCCGTGGCTGTGTGACTAGATACAAACTAGGATTGGGGTTTACAGTATGTTTTGGTCAATTTGCAACATGAAAGGGAATAAGTGACCTTGCTCCTCCTATAGTGAGGGAGCTTACAGAGAGGCAGTCACTGTGAAATACCCTCACCATAAAGTAATACCTTTGCATTACCTCATCGGTGTGGCCATACTTTGTTCTGAGCGGGGCAGGTACTGGGTGTTCCCACTACGATTACAAACAGGAACATATTTTCATACATGACAGACTGCAGATGCGGGATCCACATTTAGGCAGAACACGTGATCCTGGGAGACAAATAGACCTTTTATACAGCTTTCCAAAGCCGTCCAGGCTGATTTCTGGATCCGCTCATCCTCGATTACAATACCGCAAAGCCATCTCGAAAAAAATAGAACCAACATGCACGTGCGTAACAAGAGCAGACATCCCAGGATGCTGCAAAGTATCAGCAGAGGAGATGTTTGGTCTGTAACTTCCCCTCCTCTTGAGTCTCTGGGCCCTCCTGGGGGGGGAGCAGCAGAGAATTTGGTGATACTGGGGTTCTGGCCACGAAAAGTTTCACTCGCTTAGGAACGGAGCCGAAGTTTTAAAACACCCACTTCCACACACCCTGTCAGTACTGAGACACCAAACCAAGCCCCCATGGCTACATCTGAGTGTGTTTAAGGTCGAAATGTTACCCTGAGCATTTGGGGCACAGGACAGAGATATTCAGACAATTGGTGCATATCTGTTTAAGATGACACTTTGAATTTGTGCAAGTACAGCCTGTTCCTTTAAACCTGTGACCTCATTTATTTACATTACTGCAGAAAAGCACTGCCAGAAGCAACAGCTGATGACAGTCTCATGTATTTTTCCACTAAGACAACAATTAAACTGCTCCTGTGTTATTAATGAACAGATGACTTTGTGTCAAGTTGGTTCAAAGTACAGGATGCCTCAAGGTTAAGCAAATGTGACTCCAGCATGTAAAACTAGAGGCCAGGTACCACCAGCTGCTTCATGCACCTGGTGCTGCACCCTTTCCCCACCTGGGCTGGAGAGTCAGGTCCCCAGGGCCACCCCTGTGCCATGCCACCATCGGTGCCCAGAGGTCCTGCTGCAGGGTGGCATGCTGGTCCTGCGCCACCACTGCTTTACTGACAGTGTTCAGGGCTGCTCCTGTACCACGGGCAGGGCATGCTGTGAACTGCAGCACTGCGCTCGAGTGAGACACTTACCTTTGAGCACCATGCTCGCTCATTTTTCTTTTTTTTCTCTCCTTACTGTCACACATTCTTCCCCTTTGGCGCAGGCTACAGTCCCCACCAGCTTCAGCAAGTAGGTAGCATCGCTTCCCTTGTGCTAACCTTCCCGTGGCAGGTTTACAGAGGGCCAAGGCTGGCTGAGCTTGTTTGGAGGCAGTGGCTTGTTCCCAGGTCACAGGTATGTGCTAGGATTGCTTTCCTACAAGGGGAACCAGAAAGCTCCGGCACAGAAGCACCCTGAAGGACACCACTCCCCATCTGACATGGGTTCACTTTTAGCAGCGCATCACTCACAGCTTGCTTCCACCAAGGAAAAAGCAGCTGTACAGGCTGAAGCAGAATTCATCCATTATAAGCCAAATCCAGCCCCAGGATGTGGACAACCACCCAGACCATCTCTTCACACCACCAACCAACACTACCACTTCTGCAGAAGTTTATGGCTGTGCAAAAAGCATCTTGTATCTGGGCCATAATCAAACCGAAGGCCCACCACCTTATCTCCAACACCACTAGATGGCATGGAAAGAGTAAAAGAAGGAGAAAAGCATCTAACTCACCATATTTCTTCTGCAGTACTCCCTTAGCCTCAAGCAGGGGTAGGTCTACTGGGTACCAAAGGCACTAGCAGGGAAGGCATGGATGCACTGGGGGTGCACTCATAGAGCACAAGAGCTAAAACCACCTTGCAGTGCAAGATCTAGCCATCACTTTCCCACAGCTGTTGCTGGCACCATGTCAGCCATAGCAAAGATGATTCAAGGTGCATACTGGGGATGATTCTCTGCTCATCCTGAGGTACTGAAAGAAGCGATGCCCAAATTTCCTAAACAACACAAGATAGACACTTTCCTTGACCAAGCAGGGCTTCACTTGCTCTGGCAAAGAACTGTGCTTCCCACACCTCTTCTAGAGCAATGGGGGTAATCCAAGTGGGTAATCGTATGAGTGTTCCTACTCTCCAAAACAGATGTCCTTCTCCTCACCACAGCTGCTGCTGAGGAGTGCTCAGGCCTTGCCCTCTCTGCTGCAGAAAGCTTGACATGGTTGAAAAGACTGTGTTTGGCCCACACAGCAGGAAGCCAAGATGAGAAGGGCAACTCCCTTCTGTTACAAGGGGTGGGGACCTATCAGGCCACACTCACCTAGGTGACATTAGGAGTTGCTCCTTGGATTTCAAGGAAATTGTGGTTGGTTTTTTTTTTTTTGTTCGTTTGCTTTTAAAACACTGAAGGGAGGCTGATGTGAGGTCAAGCCCACAGAGGGAAGCCCACCCTTCCGCAGTACAAGGAGACCACAGTGACACCAGGACTGCTTTACACATTACCATTCCTG